AAGTGCAACACAAAGTAAAATGGGAGGTGCTGGAATATTGGCTTAAAGCCACCACCTCTCTCAGTACACGCTAACGTCTAGCTGGGAGGAGTGGTGACCACGAGAGCACTGAACATTCTGAGGACTGATGTTGGGGCGACCCCAGACATCAGGTAGTATTGGGGGGGGGGGCGAGGCAGGTGCAGCCAGACCGGCGACCAATCAGCGGAGTCGTAGCGATCAACATGTAGTTTGGTGATTTGGGTCCGAACAGGTGGCTGGCTGCATACGTTTTTGCTCACCCTGGCAAGCCTTGCTGGTGTTGTTGTCGTTGTTGGACATTTCTTCCATAGTCTTTTTATATAATTGTGAAGACGTAATTATGGAGGGAAGAGCAGGCTAAATCTCTTGAAGGAGATTATCGTCACAATATATATATATATATATATATATATATATATATATATATATATATATATATATATATATATATATATATTAGTATATTTTGGTAGCAGTCTTTCCTGTAGACATATATTATTAAATATGACCGAAAAAGTAAGATTAATAATTCTAACACGAATTTTCTCAATCTTTCGTACATTACGCTTCACTGTTGGAGGTAAATCAAAAATCACTTCTCCAAAATTCATTTTTATTTCTAGTCTGACGCGTCACGGGCGCGTTTCGTAAAACTTATTACATTTTCAAAGACTTCACAAATACACAACTGATTAGAACTTGCGTTTCTCTGATTTTATATCTACATTTGAGTGAGGTGGGAAGGGTGATGTGGCATTAACACAAGACAGAACAATAGGGGATATTAATAGGGTATTAAAAGTATCAACACAAGACAGAACAGAAACAATGGGTATTGAATAGAAGTGTTTGTAGAAAGCCTATTGGTCCATATTTCTTGATGCTTCTATATTGGAGCGGAGTCTTGAGGTGGGTAGAATATAGTTGTGCAATAATTGGCTGTTGATTGCTGGTGTTGACTTCTTGATGTGTAGTGCCTCGCAAACGTCAAGCCGCCTGCTATCGCTGTATCTATCGATGATTTCTGTGTTGTTTACTAGGATTTCTCTGGCGATGGTTTGGTTATGGGAAGAGATTATATGTTCCTTAATGGAGCCCTGTTGCTTATGCATCGTTAAACGCCTAGAAAGAGATGTTGTTGTCTTGCCTATATACTGGGTTTTTTGGAGCTTGCAGTCCCCAAGTGGGCATTTGAAGGCATAGACGACGTTAGTCTCTTTTAAAGCTTTCTGTTTTGTGTCTGGAGAGTTTCTCATGAGTAGGCTGGCCGTTTTTCTGGTTTTATAGTAAATCGTCAGTTGTATCCTCTGATTTTTGTCTGTAGGGATAACGTTTCTATTAACAATATCTTTCAGGACCCTTTCCTCCGTTTTATGAGCTGTGGAAAAGAAGTTCCTGTGGAAAAGAAGCACTACACATCAAGAAGTCAACACCAGCAATCAACAGCCAATTAATGCACAACTATATTCTACCCACCTCAAGACTCCGCTCCAATATAGAAGCATCAAGAAATATGGACCAATAGGCTTTCTACAAACACTTCTATTCAATACCCATTGTTTCTGTTCTGTCTTGTGTTGATACTTTTAATACCCTATTAATATCCCCTATTGTTCTGTCTTGTGTTAATGCCACATCACCCTTCCCACCTCACTCAAATGTAGATATAAAATCAGAGAAACGCAAGTTCTAATCAGTTGTGTATTTGTGAAGTCTTTGAAAATGTAATAAGTTTTACGAAACGCGCCCGTGTCGCGTCAGACTAGAAATAAAAATGAATTTTGGAGAAGTGATTTTTGATTTACCTCCAACAGTGAAGCGTAATGTACGAAAGATTGAGAAAATTCGTGTTAGAATTATTAATCTTACTTTTTCGGTCATATTTAATAATATATATATATATATATATGTGTGTATATATATATATATATATATATATATATATATATATATATATATATATATATATATATATATATATATATATATATATATATATATATATATATAAGAACTGTAAATGATCCGACCAGGATTGGAACCTATGACGTCTAGGATCACCCGCAAGAGTACACAGTACTATGACCACCGCACCATTGATCGCCTATAAGGAGTGATCAGTCCTGATGCTTATTAATTAAGCTCCACGACTGACCAACCCCCGACGACACTCGTGGATCCATTTGCGTACAGTTTTTCATCCAATTCTGGCACCTGCCCGGGCCGCGGTGAGGCTACACAAGTGAGAAAGGCTGCAGGAACGCTCAAGCCATAGATCACTCTAAATGACCCGACCAGGACATGTGTTTGTTGTAAACATCTGTCATTAAATATGACAGAAAGGTTTATTCCTTGGGAACGAAACTTAAAAAAATATAACTCTCCAAAGTTTACTTTTAGAGTTTTCCCTGGCACTAAAAGATGAGTTTTGTTGAAAAACTCTCAACATCTTGTGAGGAAGTGGATACAAGTTAGCTGAGACTAGAGACTATATAACCAAGAAGGATGAGGCAAAGTTAGGTGGTACCCGGTCCATGGTGAGGTGTGAGCTGGGTGTTCCAGCCCAGCCTCCTGTACCAGCCATGATCACCATCATGCACACAGTGTATGCAGGATGGTGGTCAGTGTATGCAGGATGGTACAGTGTATCCAGGATGGTACAGTGTATCCAGGATGGTACGGTATATGCAGGATGGACACAGTACCGCATAAGAGGCTGGTACATAAGCTGGAGAGACAGGCAGGTGTAGCTAGTAAGGTGCTCCAGTGGATAAGGGAATACCTAAGTAATAGGAAGCAGAGAGTTACAGTGAGGGGGTGAGACCTCAGATTGGCGTGAAGTCACCAGTGGAGTCCCACAGGGCTCTGTACTCGGTCCTGTCTTGTTTCTGATATATGTAAATGATCTCCCGGAGGGTATAGACTCATTCCTCTCAATGTTTTCTGACGATGCTAAAATTATGAGAAGGATTAAGACAGAGGAGGACTGCTTGGGGCTTCAAGAAGACCTAGACAAGGTGAAGGAATGGTCGAACAAATGGTTGTTAGAGTTTAACCCAAGCAAATGTAATGTAATGAAGATAGGTGTAAGGAGCAGGAGGCCAGATACAAGGTATCATCTGGGAGATGAAATACTTCAAGAGTCAGAGAGAGAAAAAGACTTGGGGGTTGATATCACGCCAGACCTGTCCCCTGCAGCTCATATCAAGAGGATATCATCAGCGGCATATGCCTGGCTGGCCAACATAAGAACGGCATTCAGAAACTTGTGTAAGGAATAATTCAGAACTTTGTATACCACATATGTCAGGCCAATCCTGGAGTATGCAGCCCCAGCATACAGTCCATATCTAGTCAAGGATAAGACCAAACTGGAAAAGGTTCAAAGGTTTGCCACCAGACTAGTACTCGAGCTGAGAGGTATGAGCTACGAGGAGAGACTACGGGAATTAAACCTCTCTTTGCTGGAAGACAGAAGAGTTAGGGGGGACATGATCACCACATTCAAGATTCTCAAGGGAATTGATAGGGTAGATAAAGACAGGCTATTTAACACAAGGGGCACACGCACAAGGGGACACAGGTGGAAACTGAGCGCCCAAATGAGCCACAGAGATATTAGAAAGAACTTTTTTATTGTCAGAGTGGTTGACAAATGGAATGCATTAGGCAGTGATGTGGTGGAGGCTGACTCCATACACAGTTTGAGGTGTAGATATGATAGAGCTCAGTAGGCTCAGGAATCTGTGCACCTGTTGATTGACGGTTGAGAGGCGGGACCAAAGAGCCAGAGCTCAACCCCCGCAAACACAATTAGGTGAGTACAGTGACGTAAAACACAATTGACAAGTAGAAATCGGTAATATTGAATTTATACAGTCTAGAATTTTTTTGTACTGCTGTTGCAAAGAAAACCTAACCTTCTTAGGCCTAATAAACGCTACCTGAGGCCAAATATAGTACATCTATGTGCTATATTACGTCTAGGAATATTTAAGTTTGGTTTTAGTTTTACGTTTTTTCGGCCAATATAAAGTGAATAGTACCAAATTGTATTCAATATAATTGTCCATTACGTCATGTTTGTAGGATGGTGCACATAGATATGAAGAGTAGTATACAGCAGGATGATGGGTGGCATCATGCGGCCTTGGTAGTGAGGAGTGAGTGTAGCAGGGTAGGAACCTGACTGTGAGCTGGTACTCGGAGGAGTGTAGCATACCTAGTGCTTTGTCCATCTCTAATGTTCTATAGTATAACCTTCCTGTGAATAATATTAATATATATATATATGTCGTACCTAGTAGCCAGAACGCACTTCTCAGCCTACTATGCAAGGCCCGATTTGCCTAATAAGCCAAGTTTTCCTGAATTAATATATTTTCTCAATTTTTTTCTTATGAAATGATAAAGCTACCCATTTCATTATGTATGAGGTACATTTTTTTATTGGAGTTAAAATTAACGTAGATATATGACCGAACCTAACCAACCCTACCTAACCTAACCTATCTCTATAGGTTAGGTTAGGTTAGGTTAGGTAGGTTAGGTAGTCGAAAAACAATTAATTCATGAAAACTTGGCTTATTAGGCAAATCGTGCCTCGCATAGTAGGCCGAGAAGTGCGTTCTGGCTACTAGGTACGACATATATATATATATATATATATATATATATATATATATATATATATATAATGTATATAATATGGAGGAGAACTACTATCACACTAATCAATGAAGATAATAACCCACTATTTTGAAAAACATTAGGAAATATTAGACTGAATATTTGGATGCTAATCCAGGATGTTCTTCAGCAGGGAGGAGGACCTCACTGCTCAAGAGGATCCGGGTTGTCTACACTTTCTCTTGTTTTCGAAATAGTGGGTTATTATTTTCACATATATTATCGTTCCTATTTACATGTTCATAAGTGCTCACTATCGCTGCCCTCCTCACTGACTTCACTATCACCAGCTTACCAGCGACGACGAAGGTGATGCCGGAGACGAAGGTGAGGAAGCGACGCCTCCTGCAGCAGTGGCCGTTGAGGCAGAGGACCTCCGCCACCGTCAGCAGCGCCGCCGCCGTCAGGAAGTACCCCGCTGACTTGAGCACCGTGTCTGCCAGCCCAGGGCGGCGCCAGCGGCAGGGGGGAGAACGGCAGGTGAGTTGGTAGGTAATGGCAGGTGAGCGCATAGGAGCTCAGGGGCCAGATTCACGAAAGCACTTACGCAAATACTTACGAACCTGTACATCTTTTCTCAATCTTTGCCGGCTTTGTTTACAATTATTAAACAGTTAATGAGCTTCGAAGCACCAGGAGGCTGTTTATAACAGTAACAAGAGTTGAATGGGAAGTTTTCATGCTTGTAAACTGTTTAATAAATGTAATCAAAACCGTCAAAGATTGAGGAAAGATGTACACGTTCGTAAATGCTTGCGTAAGTGTTTTCGTGAATCTGGCCCCTGGAGTATAACTCGTCAACCACACTATCGTGGAGGAAATAAACACTACATACACTTGCTCACTGGGAGAGTCGAACTCCCGACCCCAAGAACGCGAGGCAAAAGCTCTACCACTGTACTACGCTGACGGCACCAATAGAGATTTCATCTATCATTTAGAAATTATTCTCAATTGGTGGCGTCTGGGCAGTACAGTGGTAGAGCTTTGGCTTGACGCTCGTGGGGTCGAGACTTCGAGTCTCCCAGCGCCCAAGTGAATGAAACTGAGGAGTATGTAGAAAATGGGAAGTGCGCGCATAGAACCTGTGATATGAGGGGAAAGAAGATGGGGAGAACACACACAAAACAAAACCAGAATATTATACATTCCAAAACCAGAATATGAGACGTTTATAGGCAAGAATATGAGGGGTTTAAAGAGGCGAAAATGAGAGGTTCAGAGATAAGACTATGAGAGGCTTAAATGCACGATTATGAGAGATACAAAGGTAAGAATATGAAAGGAACGAAGATAAGAATATGGTAGGTTTAAAGGCACGAATATGAGAGGTACAGACGTAAGAATATGAAAAGTACGAAGGTAAGAATATGAGAGGTACAAAGGTAAGGATATGAAAGGTACGAAGGTAAGAATATGAGAGGTGCAAAGGCAAGAATATAAGAGGTACAAAGGTAAGGATATGAGAGGTACAAATCAAGAATATGAGAGGTGCAAAGGCAAGAATATAAGAGGTACAAAGGTAAGGATATGAGAGGTACAAATCAAGAATATGAGAGGTACAAATGCAAGAATATGAGAGGTACAAAGATAAGAATATGAGGTACAAAAATATGAACATGAGCGGCACAAAAGTAGGAACATGAGCAGTACAAAAGTAAGAACATAAGAAATAAAACTAAGAACATTAGAGTTAAAACTAAGAATATGAGAGCTATAAAGAAACTGGGAAGGTATTTGGAGAATAATAAGCACTGTGCTCCTCCTTTCACCTAATACGTTTAAAAAGCGACGTGTGAGTACAAGTTGCTGCACCTAAATGTTGACGTTTTCTCTTCATTTATAACAAATTGCATTTTTAACGGAGTTGCAGATCTAGAGAAGCTGGACTTATCATGACGGAGACACTGGCAACTTGTGTACTTACTGGGTTATGGTGACACTGTCAGGGTACTTACTGGGGGATGGTGACACTGTCAGAGTACTTACTGGGGGGTGGTGACACTGTCAGGGTACTTACTGGGGGATGGTGACACTGTCAGAGTACTTACTGGGGGATGGTGACACTGTCAGAGTACTTACTGGGGGATGGTGACACTGTCAGAGTACTTACTGGGGGATGGTGACACTGTCAGAGTACTTACTGGGGGATGGTGACACTGTCAGGGTACTTACTGGGGGATGGTGACACTGTCAGAGTACTTACTGGGGGATGGTGACACTGTCAGAGTACTTACTGGGGGATGGTGACACTGTCAGGGTACTTACTGGGTTATGGTGACACTGTCAGAGTACTTACTGGGTTATGGTGACACTGTCAGGGTACTTACTGGGGGATGGTGACACTGTCAGAGTACCTACTGGGGGGATGGTAGTAGTGAAGTTGAGGACTAGAACCGTGCGCACCATCTGGAGAGGTGGTCCTATTAGGGCCAGCTGTCCAGATGGGTCAAAGGTATGTAGGCACATAGTGTTGTAGGGTGATTTTCCGGATGTTTGGCGCGTGTCGGACGCGTGTGAGCGTCCGGTGTCTGGTTAGGTGTTATGGATTGATGGGGGGTTTATGTTGGGGGGTATGTGGTGTATGTGGTAGAGTAAGGAATAGGAGGAGAAGAGTAGAATAGGGGGTATAAGAGTAGATGAATATGTATGGGTGTTTGCCGTAGTGTTAATCCTGTGTGTGTGTGTGTGGATAAATAGTTTGATTAATAGATGCGACTAAGTAAGGCTATGTAGAGGGGGTGGAGGGTCCCAACATAGGCGGATATGTTGAGGAGGTGGGGGGAGGGGTAATTCAGATTCAGTATGTCGTGATCCGGCCTGCACTCCTCTTGAGTGCAGGCCGGATCACGGCCGGATTTATCGTTGCAAATCGCTTAAGTGTTTAATAAAGAAATAAATTTATATAATGTGTTTACTTTTCCCTCGTTTATTGCATATATTCTTTCATTCACTAGCGAGAAAATGCAAACATTCTGGCTGAGGTGTGCGGTATGACTTAACTCTCTCAAAATGCAGTCCTCCAGACCCATGGAGTGTGAAATTACCCGTGATAGATGCTGCTTGTCTCCTGACGAGGGGAGCTGAGGGGGAGTGGGGTGGGGGGGGGGGGAGGGGAAAATATAACCCAAACACCTACTGGAAATACTCTTCAGTTAGCCACTGAATGGTGGACAGTACACACACCTCCCACACCCCTCTGTAGACTTTGAAAAACGATTAAGGCTAATGTACCACATCCGCCCTGGTGCAGCTCAAACACCTCCTGGTCTGTCACCTATACACACACGTGCATTGTTACATAAAACAGACCTTCTCTGCCAACTGCTACCTCCTCTCATTCACATCTTAAGAGTGTCTGCTCTCTCTCTCTCACCCTCCTCGACACTTCCTGCTGCGTATGGTGGAACTAATCTCCTCGTGGATCATCACCAAACACAGCTGCATAGCTCAGAAAAAAAGTTAAACGCTCGAAGAGTATAATGGCTGTCAAAAACCGCAAACACATTCCACCCTCGCTTCTCAACCACAATGGCCCTCCAACCCTCTCCCGCCAAGGGGAAGCTCCCCTCACCTCCTCAACATATCCGCCTATGTTGGGACCCTCCACCCCCTCTACATAGCCTTACTTAGTCGCATCTATTAATCAAACTATTAATCCACACACACACACACAGGATTAACACTACGGCAAACACCCATACATATTCATCTACTCTTATACCCCCTATTCTACTCTTCTCCTCCTATTCCTTACTCTACCACATACACCACATACCCCCCAACATAAACCCCCCATCAATCCATAACACCTAACCAGACACTGGACGCTCACACGCGTCCGACACGCGCCAAACATCCGGAAAATCACCCTACAACACTATGTGCCTACATACCTCTGACCCATCTGGACAGCTGGTCCTAATAGGACCACCTGTCCAGATGGGGCGCACGGTTCTAGTCCTCAACTTCACTACTGATGGTGACACTGTCAGAGCACTTACTGGGGATGGTGAAACTGTCAGAGTACTTACTGGAGGATAGTGACATTGTCAGAGTACTTACTGGGGATGGTGACACTGTCCAGGTACTTACAGGGGATGGCAGTAGTTGAGTCTTGGGGATCAGGACTGTAGATCTCATCAGGGAAGTAGTCAATCTTGGTGCATCTGAACTCCGTCTTGCCCACTGTGGGGAGAGAAGGTCATGTTGGGGTGAGGAGGTCATGTGGGGAGAGGTCATGTTGGGGTGAGGAGGTCATGTGGGGAGAGGTCATGTTGGGGTGAGGAGGACAAGTGGGGAGAGGTCATGTTGGGGTGAGGAGGACAAGTGGGGAGAGGTCATGTTGGGGTGAGGAGGTCATGTGGGGAGAGGTCATGTTGGGGTGAGGAGGTCATGTGGGGAGAGGTCTTGTTGGGGTGAGGAGGTCATGTGGGGAGAGGTCATGTGGGGAGAGGTCATGTGGGGTGAGGAGGTCATGTGGGGAGAGGTCATGTTGGGGTGAGGAGGTCATGTGGGGAGAGGTCATGTGGGGTGAGGAGGTCATGTTGGGGTGAGGAGGTCATGTGGGGAGAGGTCATGTTGGGGTGAGGAGGTCATGTGGGGAGAGGTCATGTTGGGGTGAGGAGGTCATGTGGGGAGAGGTCATGTGGAGAGAGGTCTTGCTGGGGTGAGGAGGTCATGTGGGGAGAGGTCATGTGGGGAGAGGTCATGTTGGGGTGAGGAGGTCATGTGGAGAGAGGTCTTGTTGGGGTGAGGAGGTCATGTGGGGAGAGGTCATGTTGGGGTGAGGAGGTCATGTGGGGAGAGGTCATGTGGGGAGAGGTCATGTTGGGGTGAGGAGGTCATGTGGGGAGAGGTCATGTTGGGGTGAGGAGGTCATGTGGGGAGAGGTCATGTTGGGGTGAGGAGGATATGTGGGGAGAGGTCATGTTGGGGTGAGGAGGTTATGTGGGGAGAGGTCATGTTGGGGTGAGGAGGTCATGTGGAGAGAGGTCTTGTTGGGGTGAGGAGGTCATGTGGGGAGAGGTCATGTTGGGGTGAGGAGGTCATGTGGAGAGAGGTCTTGTTGGGGTGAGGAGGTCATGTGGGGAGAGGTCATGTTGGGGTGAGGAGGTCATGTGGGGAGAGGTCATGTTGGGGTGAGGTCATGTGGGGAGAGGTCATGTTGGGGTGAGGAGGTCATGTGGGGAGAGGTCATGTTGGGGTGAGGAGGTTATGTGGGGAGAGATCATGTTGGGGTGAGGAGGACAAGTGGGGAGAAGTCATGTGGGAGGGAGGGGAAAGCGCCAAGCCATTACGACTATATAGCACTAGGAAGCGGGTGGGATGAGGCCACACAACATAGAGCGGGCCACACACCATGGAGCGGGCCAACACCATAGAGCGGGCCACACAACATGGGGCAGGCCACACAACATAGAGCGCGCCATACAACATGGGGAAGGCCACACACCATAGAGCGGGCCACACAACATAGAGTGGGCCACACACCACAGAGCGGGCCACACACCATAGAGCGGGCCACACACCACAGAGCGGGCCACACACCATAGAGCGGGGGCCACACAACATAAAGCGGGCCACACAACATAGAGCTGGCCACACAACTTAGAGCGGGCCACACAACATAGAGCCGGCCACACACACCACAGAGCGGGCCACACAATATAGAGCGGGCCACACAACATAGAGCGGGCCACACACTACAGAGCGGGCCACACAACATAGAGCGGGCCACACACTACAGAGCGGGCCACACAACATAGAGCGGGCCACACACTACAGAGCGGGCCACACAATATAGAGCGGGCCACACACCACAGAGCGGGCCACACAACATAGAGCGGGCCACACACCACAGAGTGGGCCACACACCACAGAGCTGGCCACACAACATAGAGCCGGCCACACACCACAGAGCGGGCCACACACCACAGAGCGGGCCACACACCACAGAGCGGGCCACACAACATAGAGCGGGCCACACAACATAGAGCGGGCCACACAACATAGAGCGGGCCACACAACATAGAGCGGGGCCACACAACATAAAGCGGGCCACACAACATAGAGCGGGCCACACACTACAGAGCGGGCCACACAACATAGAGCGGGCCACACGCTACAGAGCGGGCCACACAACATAGAGCGGGCCACACAACATAGAGCGGGCCACACACTACAGAGCGGGCCACACAACATAGAGCGGGCCACACACTACAGAGCGGGCCACACAACATAGAGCGGGCCACACACTACAGAGCGGGCCACACACCACAGAGCGGGCCACACACCATAGAGCGGGCCACACAACATAGAGCGGGCCACACAACACAGAGCGGGCCACACAACATAGAGCGGGCCACACACCACAGAGCGGGCCACACAACATAGAGCGGGCCACACAACATAGAGCGGGCCACACACTACAGAGCAGGCCACACACCACAGAGCGGGCCACACAACATAGAGCGGGCCACACAACATAGAGCGGGCCACACACTACAGAGCATGCCACACACCACAGAGCGGGCCACACAACACAGCGGGCCACACACCATAGAGCGGGCCACACACCACAGAGCGGGCCACACAATATAGAGCGGGCCACACACCACAGAGCGGGCCACACAACATAGAGCGGGCCACACAACATAGAGCGGGCCACACAACATTGAGCGGGCCACACAACATAGAGCGGGCCACACAACATAGAGCGGGCCACACAACATAGAGCGGGCCACACACCACAGAGCGGGCCACACAACATAGAGCGGGCCACACACCACAGAGCGGGCCACACAACATAGAGCGGGCCACACAACATAGAGCGGGCCACACAACATAGAGCGGGTCAGCAGCTAACCTTCAGTAGAGCAGAGAGTGAAGAGGCCGCTGACGGTGCCCTTGGTGAGGTACTCGACCCTGGAGGAGCCGTTCCTGTAGGAGGGGTTGGGCATCCTCTCCTCGGAGGTCAGCCAACAGCTGCCGCTGATGGCAGCCAGGACGCACACCCCACTCAGCATGGCTGCCAGCGGCGTCCCCACCCACAGCAGCTGCTCCGTCATGTTCACCCCTAGCATCATCACTCTGGCGTCCCTCAGCCTCTGGCGTCCCTCAGCCTCTGGCGTCCCTCAGCCTCTGGCGTCCCTCAGGCTCTGATGGGGTCGGCCACGTTGTCTTCCATAGAGTTGTGTTTTTGGTCAGCTTGGGTGAGGCGTCGGCTCCTTCCTCGACATCCCTGATCGTTCTCAAATGTCACACATGTCTCCGTTTTCTTTTGGTTAGCTTCGTGTTACTTCTTGAAGTTCACTCTTTGCTTTTCTCTCCTTACTTTCTCCAGCTCCTGGGTTGTTAGGAGGTGCTTGTTCCATCTTCTCATGGCTGCCCTCTACACGGCAGCTCCTTCACAGCTGCCCTCTACACGGCAGCCTCTTCACAGCTGCCCTCTACACGGCAGCCTCTTCACAGCTGCCCTCTACACGGCAGCCTCTTCACAGCTGCCCTCTACACGGCAGCCTCTTCACAGCTGCCCTCTACACGGCAGCCTCTTCACAGCTGCCCTCTACACGGCAGCCTCTTCACAGCTGCCCTCTACACGGCAGCCCTTCACAGCTGCCCTCTACACGGCAGCCTCTTCACAGCTGCCCTCTACACGGCAGCCTCTTCACAGCTGCCCTCTACACGGCAGCCTCTTCACAGCTGCCCTCTACACGGCAGCCTCTTCACAGCTGCCCTCTACACGGCAGCCCTTCACAGCTGCCCTCTACACGGCAGCCTCTTCACAGCTGCCCTCTACACGGCAGCCCTTCACAGCTGCCCTCTACACGGCAGCCTCTTCACAGCTGCCCTCTACACGGCAGCCTCTTCACAGCTGCCCTCTACACGGCAGCCTCTTCACAGCTGCCCTCTACACGGCAGCCTCTTCACAGCTGCCCTCTACACGGCAGCCCTTCACAGCTGCCCTCTACACGGCAGCCCTTCACAGCTGCCCTCTACACGGCAGCCTCTTCACAGCTGCCCTCTACACGGCAGCCTCTTCACAGCTGCCCTCTACACGGCAGCCTCTTCACAGCTGCCCTCTACACGGCAGCCTCTTCACAGCTGCCCTCTACACGGCAGCCTCTTCACAGCTGCCCTCTACACGGCAGCCTCTTCACAGCTGCCCTCTACACGGCAGCCTCTTCACAGCTGCCCTCTACACGGCAGCCCTTCACAGCTGCCCTCTACACGGCAGCCTCTTCACAGCTGCCCTCTACACGGCAGCTCCTTCACAGCTGCCCTCTACACGGCAGCCTCTTCACAGCTGCCCTCTACACGGCAGCCTCTTCACAGCTGCCCTCTACACGGCAGCCTCTTCACAGCTGCCCTCTACACGGCAGCCTCTTCACAGCTGCCCTCTACACGGCAGCCCTTCACAGCTGCCCTCTACACGGCAGCCTCTTCACAGCTGCCCTCTACACGGCAGCCTCTTCACAGCTGCCCTCTACACGGCAGCCCTTCACAGCTGCCCTCTACACGGCAGCCTCTTCACAGCTGCCCTCTACACGGCAGCCCTTCACAGCTGCCCTCTTACACACACCTTCACTGTGCAACTGCAGACTCTCAACTTCTTGCCATTCCTAGCAACTTGCTGTCTTTTCCGCCAGGCTGCTGATCTGTTTTTATTCCTTTTCCTCTGTGTCTCCTTAACTTCCTTTCTATCTTATTTTTATGCATTAATCCCTCTCGTTTTAAGAGGGCACATTAGATATTGTATTATCATTGCTGATGATTTAGTTCCTTTTTATTTTTAATTGTCACTTTGAGGTTTATTTCCCCTTGTTCCTCTCTTTATTCTTGCTAGTTAAGACTATTAAGACTACCTCAGTGGTAGTTAAGACTTGTGTTACTGAGATCCCTCTTCCTAGACCTTGTTTTGGTTCATCTTTATAATCCTCCTCGACCCTTGCTTCCTCTCGCGTCCTCATCTCTTCCTCTTACAACATCTTCATTCGTTCGTTTCCAAATTGTCGTGTCCTGTCCTCAGAGGTCTCCCCTGGGTTTTAAGTCTTTCCTCACTGTCTCGTGTTTCCTCCAGACGTTGAGCAGAAGTCTTATTTTAAGTGTTTCTTTGCTTCCTCGTCGTCCTCCTGTGTTTTTCCTTGTGTCTTGTGTTCATGCTCCTCTACGCACGTGCTTGCAAACTCTATTTATATTTTCATCGTTTCAGTTTAACACAATTTGCGTTTTTATGTCAGTTCAACTTTGTTTATATTATAACTTTTAATAGTTTAAGTGATATTATTATTTTTTCTGTAATTGTTTGCGTCTCTGAGTTAAAGGGAGAGTTGCCTGAAAGATAATGTTGGGTTAAGTGTTTCATCTTGGGAATTTAAAGGCAAACTGTTTTATTCAGGAGCAAAATGAGTTATATAAGATACGGGATGGGGGCAGCCGGTTGTGCTCGGGTCGCTCTCCCCTCCCTCTCTTCCCTCCTTTCTCCCCCCTCTCCTTTCCTCTCCCACTCTCCTACCCCCTCTCTCACGAACCTCCTCCCCTCTTGCACCCTCTCACCCCTCCTCTCCTTCCCTGTCCTTGATTTCAGACTTAATAAAAATAGTTATTTCAGAATACAAATCGCAGGGGATCGCTACAAAGCCAAGATTTATTAAAGGGTGGCACTAGGGGCCAACCCCGACTGACCTATGACATTCATATACCTCCCATGTGTCATCTTGGAGAGTTGGGTGAGCGTCTAAAGCGTCTAAAATCCTATTTTGAACAGACAGACATTCATTCTATTTTGTATAAATAGATATAAGCCAGAGAGATGCAGATTAGGAAATACAAATTAGAGATGCAGACACAAAATGTTGATATATAAAATAAAATCATGGTCGTTGAAGTCGTGACATTCTTGAGACAGATTGACAGTGACGCAGACAACACAGTTCCACAGCTTGAAGGATAGTGATGAAATGTGGTAATTGGTCATTGTTGTGGCTTGGTGATGGTCTGGTGGTGGTCTGGTTGTGGTCTGGTGGTGGGCGTGGCGATAGGCGTGGCGGTGGGCGTGGCAGAGGTCTGGTGGTGGGCGTGGCGGTGTGTCAACAAGCGCAGTAATAACCAGAATGTGGCCACACAGACACGAGCACCTGTGAGAGGAGAGGAGGGGAGAGAAACATTGAGCACCACAACAGACCAATACACAACACCACCATCACAAACACCAATAGAAAATGTAACCATTTCATCGAGGCCATTGTCAATATAGTCCAAGGTAAGCGGTCGCTCCCCGGCCTGTCCCCACCATCTCTGTCCCCTTGTTCTCTGGCAAGGTTGGGGGGCCCCCTCTCACCCTCCCCTCTCCACTATTCCACTATTTTCCCATTTTCTTCCCCCCCTCCCTCTCTCTCTCTCTCTCTCTCTCTCTCTCTCTCTCTCTCTCTCTCTCTCTCTCTCTCTCTCCTCTCTCTCTCTCTCTCTCTCTCTCTCTCTCTCTCTCTCTCTCTCTCTCTCTCTCTCTCTCTCTCTCTCTCTCTCTCTCTCTCTCTCTCTCTCTCTCTCTCTCTCTCTCTCTCTCTCTCTCTCTCTCTCTCTCTCTCTCTCTCTCTCTCTCTCTCTCTCTCTCTCTCTCTCTCTCTCTCTATATATATATATATATATACATATATATATAAATACATATATATATATATATATATATACATATATATACATACATACATATATATATATATATATATATATATATATATATATATATATATATATATATATATATAATATATATAATTGACGATCACGTAACACTGATCATTTGAATGCGGAAAATCCACAGATAAGTGAGAAAAGTCGATGATCGTTTGGGTTGATCAAGGCCGTAGTCAACACCAGACGAAGATAACAATCCAAGAGAGGGTGGAGTCATCCATCCCATCCCCTGCTGGGAAAGAATTAACCAGAAACAGGTATAGATTAGCTTATAACGGTCAGAAGGATTTGGCGGTAAGATATTAAGTATAAAAGATTTTATTTTCTTTCCCAGGGGATGGGTGGTCAGGTTCCAGTGGTGGCCTCCACCCTCTCTGTGTGTTTATCTTCATCTGGTGTTGACAACGGCCTTCATCACCCCAAACGTTCATCGCCTTTTCTCACTTCTCTGTGGATTTTCCGCATTCAAATGATCAGTGTTACGTGATCGTCAATTACACACACACACACACACACACACACACACACATATATATATATATATATATATATATATATATATATATATATATATATATATATATATATATATATATATATATATATATATATATGACAAATGTCAGACCACGGAGGAAAAATGAAACAGGAAATTTCCTTAAGTACTTTCGTATATTAAATACATCTTCAGAAGGTGACCTTCTGAAGATGTATTTAATATACGAAAGTACTTAAGGAAATTTCCTGCATTCTTAATCACGTGTTTATTTTCGTGATATACACACACACACATATATATATATATATATATATATATATATATATATATATATATATATATATATATATATATATATATATATATATATATATATGTCGTACCTAGTAGCCAGAACATACTTCTCAGCCTACTATGCAAGGCCCGATTTGTATAATAGGCCGAGTGATTTACTTTATTTTTCAATAAATTATTTCCAATTAGTTTATTTGAATTAATATTATTATATTAAGAACATAAATTATTGACCTTATTGTGTTAATTTAAATTAGGTTAAGATAGTTTAAGTTAGGTAGGGTTGGTTAGGTTTGGTCATATATCTACATTTGTTTTAACTCAAATTTAAAAAAAAATAACTCATGCACAATGAAATGGACAGATTTATCATTCCATAAGAAAAAAAATTGAAAAAATATAAATTCAGGAAATCTTGGCTTATTAGGCAAATCGGGCCTTGCTACTATCAACCTGTCCTCTTAAAAATAATGTCGCTTTTGGCCGTTTGCCCGTATGGCCGAATTTGGACGTAATTTGAAAATGAAAAAAAAAATGAAAATAAATTTGGAATTTTGTTTTTCAACAACAGTAAGTTAAGGGTCCTCTGATAGGTTAGGTGGGCAGGAAATTCTCATAAAGTTTCAAAACGTTATGAAAAACGTTAATTTAAAGTGTCCTCTCCTAACTTCTCCGAGTAGGCCAGGCGACTAAAACAGAAAACGGAACAGAATGTCACTTTTGTGAGTCGATTTCATTTCAAATTACGCCCAAATTTGGCCATAGTGCGCATACGAGCGAAAAGTGACGTTATTTTTAAGAGGACGGGTTGCTGAAATAGGGTGCATGATTTACACCCTGTTGTATAATACATGAACTACACCCTGTTGTATAATACTGAAACAACACCCTGTTGTTCCAGTATTATAGATAGATTCTTGTAGATATAGGACCTCCACACGGATGTACAATACAGAAACTACACCCTGTTGTATAATACAGAAACTACACTTTTATAATGGAAATAGAGTATTACTGTATGATCAAGAATGACATACGACACCCTGGGAAGTTAATCATACATAACAATGAGTAATGGTCACAACATGATAAATACAAGGACATCAATTGTATATTTTTCCTAAAACACACACACACCTACACACACCTACACACACACACCTCGCATGTGTGTGTGTGTTAGGGGCGTCGCGGTTTCCAGCGGAGGCGGAAACAAATGGGCAATTTTTTTTTCACCTGATGCCGCTGTTCGCCTAGCAGTAAAAAGGTACCTCGGAGTTAGACAGCTGCTAAGGGCTGCTTCGCGCGTGTGTGTGTACTCACCTATTTGTGCTTGCAGGATCGAGCACTGACTCTTGGATCCCGCTTTTCTAGCCATCGGTTGTTTACAGCAATGACTCCGGTCCTATTTCCCTATCATATCAAGTTTTAAAATTATGAATAGTATTTGCTTCCACAACCTGTTCCTTAAGTGTATTCCATTTTCCACTACTCTCACGCTAAATGAATACTTCCTAACATCTAGGATTAGTTGTTAGTTAGATTTGGTGTTACGTCCACGCCCAGGTCTCTTTCTCGAATCGTCACAGGTAGGCAGTTCCTCTTCATTGTGTACTGTCCCTTTGGTCTCCTTTCTCCTAGTCCCATTTCCATAACTTTACATTTGCTCGTGATGAACTCCAGTAACCATTTCTCTGACAATCTCTGCAATTTGTTCAAGTCCTCTTGGAGGATCCTACAATCCTCATCTGTCACAACTCTTCTCATTAATTTTGCGTCATCCTCGAACATTGACATGTAGGATTCCACTCCTGTAAACATGCCGTTAACGTAAATTAGCGAGTGTGTGTGTGTGTGTGTGTGTGTGTGTGTGTGTGTGTGTGTGTGTGTGTGTGTGTGTGTGTGTGTGTGTGTGTGTGTGTGTGTGAAAAATAGTAGTTAATAACAGTTGATTGATTGACAGTTGAGAGGCGGGCCGAAAGAGCAGAGCTCAACCCCCGCAAGAACAAATAGGTGAATAAACACACACACACACACACACACACACACACACACACACACACACACACACACACACACACACACACACACACACATACACACACACACACACACACAGACCTTGAAATACCTTGGGAAATAAAAGGGAAATACC